CCCCCCCCCCCCCCCCCCCCCCCCCGCTGCCTGGATAGGACTGCCTCGGCACCCTTTCCTCCGCTACCAACGCAGCCTCACGGAATCCGCTTACATCTTTCGCCGCCCCGCAGAACCGGACCTCCCGGGCAGCTTCGAGGCTTCCGTGGCTCCCCCCGTCGGCCCCAAGCCCGGCGCTGCCCCCAAGCCAGCCTCGCCCCCCGCCAGCACCCCGCCTGCTCACCGCCAAGCAGCGTCAGGGCCACCGCCATGCACCCCCCTCTGCCCGCCCCCTCCAGCCCTCGCCTGTGCTTTGAATGGCACCCCGGCCGAGCCTCCCCACCTGGCCCCCTCGCCTGAATCGGAACACTTTCCGGGACAGGAGAGCCCCCTTTTGACTCCTCCGGGCTCCTGCTCCCCCGCTGCGGAGGAAATTCAGGCCCCCGGCCATGCCCCAGAGGGACCAATGTCCCCCGGCCCAGCCCAGCCCACCAATGGAAGGGCAATGGACTGGGAGGAGCTGCTCAGCCCCACAGCGAACTCTCCCCCGAGGGCTGGTCTAGGGGAGACAGCCCTGGAAAAAGGTAAGCCCCCAAGTCTTGCTCGAGGGCTGCCCCTTGGGGGGGGGGGAGGAATGAGGCAGCTAGCAGCCATGGGGTAGAGGTGGTGGTGTTTTCCTTGGTTTTCTTGGCTAAGATTCAGGCAGTGCAGGATTGTACAAACAGCCAGAATTGGGGGAGTGGGGTTGCTTAAGCTGGGATCCTCGGTCCCCACCTGCTGGGATCCTGTCTCCTGAACAGTGAGGGGGTGTCGGGGGGGGGGGGGGGGCTTGCAAGCCGAGAGTCCCAGATTCCATTAAAAAGTTCTCCGTTTTGCTTGCATTTGGAGGAATTGCTTGGCTTTACCTGTGGCTAAGGGACCAGCCCTGCTTGGTTCAAGGATTGGTGGGTGGTGGGTGGGAGATGGACAGGTATGGGAGATGCCCCAAAGGCCAGGCTTCTTCCCCACCTTTCCTTTCCCAGGTGCCTCACCAGGACCTGCTCCAGGCCAGGCTGGGTCCGTCCTGTCTTCTGGGCACAGAGGATCAGAGAGAAGCCGGGGCGAGCAGGTGAGTCGCCCACGCAAGATGTTGTTAAATCTCCTGCTTTAAATCACTCGCCGGATCGGCGCAGGAATTTCCCTTTCCTTGATTCCAACACCACCCCTGCAAGGTAGGCCGGGAGTGAGAGTGGCTGACCCAGAAGCCCTGCAAGGGCCGAGGGCTGCCTCTGGCTCTTTTCTAACGGGTGGCGGAGGGAGTGTGTGTGTGTGTCCCTTTCTCACAACAAACCTTCCTCCCTTCCCCGCTGGTCAGCTTTCTCTCTTTCTGCAGGGCAACTGGCCCCAGGATGGGCGCACGGCGTGACTGTCCGGCTTCTGCCCACTCAGCAGAGCAAGGGATTCCTGCTTGGAGAAGGTGCACTGTCCTCGCGCCCGAGGGAGGCCCCCACCTGCACCTGCCTGCTCACCTGCAGCCAGACCAGAACAGGCTCGCTGTGGTGCCTTCACACTGGCTTGGGTTTGCCTGCTATCAGCACTGTAGTCGCATTAACACAAGGAAATAAACCACTTTTTGGCTTAACCGAAGACCCAAAGGTTTCTGGGCGGTCCTGTCAGGCCACAGACACACAGGTGCCCTGCAAGGAGAGGGTGGACCCCGAAATTATCCCCACCCCACCCCCACCGGTACTGGAGCCAGCCCTGCATGCCAAAGCCTCCCCCCTCCTCCCACCCCAGGGGCTCTTCCAGCCTCCTCCACAGACCCAGCCTGCACTCGAGAGGGGGCAAGTCAGTACACTTTAATGCGCATTCACAGGAAGGGAGGCCGCTGAGCCCCACAGGGAGCAGCTTGGAGGGAAGGGCCGCCCACCCCACTTCGTCCTCCATGCCAATCCCTGCAGCTTGAGAGGAGGGGTTGCGGGTGTCAGGAAGAGGCCGGGCTGAAGGCAAATGGGGACCCTCGGCCCACGGCAAGGAAAGAGCTCGGCCTCTCTTCGGGTTCAACGGCGCATATTCCAGTTTCTTACAAGGGGAAGCAAGGTGCATTTCTCCTGAAGACGGAGGGGCCTTGCCGCCCTCCCCCACCCAATTCCGTGGCCAGCTGCTTCGCTAGCCAGGTCAGCCCCTCATTGGGGGCAGGGATGGGGACTGTGGCCTCGGCCGGTGTGTCTCTGAAAGGTGAAGCCCACCCCCCCGAAGAAGGCAGACCCTCGGCTCTCGGTAGCCTTCAGACCTGGGACTGCAGCCACAAGCGAGGGTCGAACCAGGGCTGGGCGTGGGTCTGCAGGGTCCGCTCCGAGGAGTCTGGAGTTGAGCTGCAGCTGCTGGACGACCCTGAGCTGGAGCACGAAAGGCCGTGGGCCTTGGGCAGAGGGGAAGGCGGCGGGCGGCCTGCGCGCCCCTTCAGCCTGCTGAGCTTGGCGTCCAGTGAGAAGGTGCGAGGCCGGCCCCAGGGGGGCTGCGGGGGGCACGGGACAGTGCCCGAGTTGCAGTTGGGAGCGATGCCGTTGGGGGAGGAGCCCTCGAAGAGAGAGAGCCACACGGGCTCGCCTAGGTCCGAGACCCGCCGGGCCAGGATCTCGGTCACTGCCTCGATGTCATCAGCCGGCTCAATAGCTGCAGGGAAAGGGGGAGGGGGGGGGGGGCTCCGTTAGAGGCGGCCTGGACCCCTCCGGTTCATACAGGGACCCCTCCTTTCCCCTAGGGAGAGTGGCCGCTCAACGGAAAAACACTCGGAAGACGGCCAGTTTTGGTCAGCTGGAGGGGGTCTGGAAGGCATTCAGCCCTACAACCGATCCTTCAGCCTGGGCCTCCCGCCCCTGCCCCCCTCCCGAGGTTTCCATGGCAATAGCAGCCCCTCCTCCCTGCGACGGGCGGCTGCTGGGCCCAGCCACCGGGTGCAGTTACTTCACCTGTCACTGTAATAGTTGGACAGAAGTGCCCGAATCTCTGCAGAGGCAGCGTTGTCCTGCAACAGAAGCCCCTCGCAGTTGGAGGGTGGCCCCCCAGCGCCAGGGAGAGCTGGGGCAGGACAGACAGACAGACAGGAGGAGGAGGAGGCCGAAAGAGGGACATGCAGAGAGAGAGAGAGAGAGAGAGAGAGGAGAGCAGGAGGAGAGCAGAGAGTTACACAGACACTGGATACAGGGGCAAGAGAGACCCCGGAGACGTGGAGCTGGAAAAGGGGGGGGAGGCAGAGAGGACAAGAGACCCTCCCCTCCAGATTCGGGAGACCCTCACGAGCCTGCACTTCTGCCCCCGGGGATGCCGGCCCCTGTCAGCCTCACCCATCTCGTGGTACAGGGATCCCTGCTTGGGCAGCAGCATCGGAGGGCGGCGCGGAGATGGCACCTCCACTGTCATCACTTCATCGCAGCAGTGCTTCCACTGGCCTGGGCGGGGGGGGAACCACAAGAGGCGTAAAGAGGCTTAACAGATAACAGATAATCAGAGTTGGAAGGGACCTTGTAGGTCATCTAGTCCAACCCCCCTGCCCAAGTGGGAGACCCTACACCATTTCTGACAAATGGCGGTCCAGTTTCTTCTTGAAAGTCTCAAGTGATGAAGCTCCCACAACTTCCGAAGGCAACTTCTGTTCCATGGGTTGATGGTTCTCGCTGTCAGAAAGTTTCTCCTTATTTCCAGGTTGAGTCTCTCCTTGTTCAGTTTCCATCCACTATTCCTTGTCTGACCTACAGGCGCTTTAGAAAATAGCTTGACCCCTTCCTCTCTGTGGCAGCCCCTCAAATATTGGAAGACTGCTATCCTGTCTCCCCTGGTCCTTCTCTTCCCTAGACTAGCCAGGGCCAGTTCCTGCAACTGTTCATTGTATGTTTTAGCCTCCAGTCCCCTCATCATCCTGGTTGCTCTTCTCTGAACTTTTCCTAGAGTCTCAACATCTATTTTATAGTGTGGTGAACAAAACTGGATGCAGTACTCTAGGTGTGGTCTTACTAAGGCTTTATAGAGTGGTATTAGTACTTCCCTTTATCATGATTGTATCCCTGTGTTAATGCAATTTAGGATTGCGTTGGCATTTTTTGGCTGCTCCTGCACACGGCTGGCTCATGGTTAGCTGGTTGTCCACTAAGACTCCGAGATCCCCCTCCCAGTTGCTGCTTGGGGGTGGGGGGTATCCCGTGGCATCGAAGGAAGGCTGGCCTTGGAGGGCCCCCCCCCAATGTTCTTGGCTGCAGTGGGGAGTGCCTCAGATCCAGCTTGGAGGGGAAGTTTGTGCCTCAGTGCTCCCCAGACATCTGGCCTCCTTGTGTCTTTTTCAGGCGGCTGCCCCCAACATACGAATCATGGCTGTGTCCAGGGAAGCTTGTTCTCCTTATTTCTCCCCCCCCGGCCCCCCCCCCCCCCCCCCCCCGTCATTGCCTCTCCTCCACTCACTCATGTCGTAGAAGTGCTGCCAGAAGACCTCCATCCAGCGCTGGGCCTCCGCGGGAGACTCGGCCTGCAGCGTGTGGGTGACTTCCTCATCTCCGTAGTGGTTGGTCACTGACATGCAGCGGACGGGCCCCCTGGGGCTCTTCTCGCTGGCCCGGATGCGCGTCTCCTGCCCAGAGGAAAGAGGCTTGGCTTGTGGGGCCAGATGCCATGGGTGCCTCGGTCTGGGATGGAACCGTCCCCAAGGGAAGGGGAACGCAGCCCTCCCTTCTCCCAGGGCGTTAGTTTAGTAAAGAAGGTAAGGCCAGAAATGGGAGGGATTTCTGAATGGGCGAGTTTTTAAGAACCAGGATATTTTCCGTGATCTGAAACCAGGCAAGGGAGGGGCACAGCCTGCCCCCAAAAAAGGATTATCATGGGAGGAGGGGCAGTCTGGGAAGGTTTTCTCAGCTGACCCCCCCATGGACAGTGGGCAGCAAAGAGCTAGAGGCGCCCCTTGGCCTGGGTGCTTATTGGCGTGTGTGCCCGCGAGCCACGGCCTCCCCGCGCCCAGCCGTACCTTGTTGATGGCAATGGTGAAGGCAGCCTCTTCCGGGCCCTCCACATCCTGGGGGTGCCGGTAGCAGAGAAGGTTGGTGCCACGCAGGAC